TGCACACCATTAGGTTGAACAATTAGTAGTTCTTTCAAGTTCCCTTCAGCTTCTTACCGGATTCCAATTAGCCGGCAAGGAAAAAGACTCCCGCCAACGTGAACGCTTACCCCTAAACTTCAAATTTTTAAAAGAACCTTCGTCTTCAGTGTGAGCAATGCCACCCTCTACACGAGCATTTAAATTACCTTCAAACTCATGGGCATTCGCATTGCCTTCCCCTGGCAGCTTTTTTAACCATGCCATCCACTTGTGGTACATTTGCTTTAAATTGTGGTCTTTACCCTTAGTCCTGGATTCTCCATCTCCATACTTGGACAATTTGCTCTTTGAATGAGAACCCGCTATTCCATGGCCGCCTTGACCACCTGTATCGGAATTGGCACTTGTTGCAAGAGAACCAGCGCCTCCTGCATGAGCGCCTTCACCTCCAGTACGCAGATACTTTTTGCCTCCCGTCTTGCCACCTTCATCCGATTTAGAGCCTTCACTTTTGGAGCCTTCACTTTTGGAACGCGAACCTCCACTTCCCAAATATGAACCCTGTGTACTTGGCTTTATTAAAATATCCTCAAGCGCTGTAAATTGACCACTTGTCATTTCGAAGTCGGTAGTATTAAGTAAAAGTAGAAGTAAACATCCCACCGTACTGATGTTGCTATTCATTTCATTAAAGTTTCGAACATTGAGCAGAACCTTTTTGATGCCCTCGGTATCTTCTATACCAATGTATCCAACCCTCGCAATCATGTAGGGGGTAATTAGGAAAGCGAGTTTTGATTTCGTAAGATATAAGGATGCTATTATTTGACCAAGTATTTTTACATGGCCTTCAGTATCCTCGTCGTAAAATGATCCTAGGTGACCCAATTTTACCTCGGCCACCCAGAGGATATCAGTCGCTTCGGGGGCTCCTTCCCCGCCTGCTTCTAGCACATTCCTCGTTGCCTCGTGCTTAACCCTCCCTTCCTGTAGCTCATGTTTCCTAACACAGTAATCAGGGCGTTTCTTTATCGTTTTGTTATATTTTTGAATCTTAAGGAGATGTTCCTGTAGTAATTGAGCATCATGTTTAGTGTTTTCTTGAGCACTGACAAACATAATGATCGGAAACAAAAACGTTTTAGCAAACTGACTAGCCCAGGGAGCCTCAATGGATGCAATCATATCCACAGGTGGAAGCAGAAATGAGGGGAGGGATAATGAGCTCTTGCAAAACTTCTCTACTTGGATTTTCATCAAATCCATGGGATCAAGCTTTGTCGTATTCTGTGTCACGTTTAGTTGAACTTCATTATACTCATCCTCGTTGAGACCGGTAGTCGAAACCCCATGCCTTCCTTCAACAGCAATTATATTTGGTGTGAAAAATATAGCCATTGAAATGGTTATGAGATTGGATAAAGAACGTTTGAAATTTATTTGCTCTGTCCAGTGACTCCACGCATAATGTTCAATATCACGAATAATATCCTGTAGAATTAATTGAATTTTACGGGTTAGTGTTTCTCTCAATGGTGGTTTTTTTAGGTCCAATAATTTGGTTACTTCTCTAGTGATTTGAACAACCTTTTCTCTTTCGGTTTTATTTAGCAAATCGAAAGATTCCTTGTACAGATTGAGCATTAGTCCCTCTATTTCTTGATCTGTTGCTTTCCTTCTTCCATTTTCACCTCCTTCAAGCAGTTGCTCATAGCTCTCAAACACGTCCTGTAATGTGTGGTTGTTTTTACTTTCCCCTTTTAAACTCTTGGCAAAAGCCTCAATTTGTAGGTCCACCCAAAGACCATCAAATAGTTCAGTTGTAGCATCTTGTGATCTCATATCCCCACTAGAACTCGATTGCAGTGACATCAGCTTCGGTGTATTTAAAACCACACAAATGGTCGCAAAAGTGTTTATTTCAAATTTGTCCCACATCAAACGAAGTCAGAAAAAAAAAATAGTCCCCATTTTGTGCTTCTGTCAAATACCACCAAATACAAATGAATGCCACGCAATTCAAAGCAAGTTTTGAACAACTTTAGTGCTCATGTATACCACCCAAATTATAATTGTCTAAATTGTATATTGTGTATAGTTCAACTGGCGTGTACCACCGTTTTAAGTGCACTTTTACCTCTTTTGTAAAATCACGAGTAACAGTATGCTCGAAGTCTGTCAAATCTATATCGTCCAAACCATAAAAGTGGTAGCCAACGACCCCAAATGAGAGATCGGGACTGAGAACTTTCATGTAGTGGGTGAGCAACAGAGAGTAAACTTCCAGAGGTCCTCTCCACCAGTTGATGCTACTGTTGGGAAACTGTGGGCACAAATCGCACACAGCTCTTGCTTCACACTCACGACAGTCCTGACTTGAAACAATAAGGGATCTTAATTTGACATGCCTGAAGCATTTGAGGTCCTGAAGTGCATAAGGCGCGTACATTTTGCCTGCAAATCTTAAACATAATTGCACCAATTTGGGAAAGTCTTCTTCCAAGTCACTGCTAGAGAACACAGTTTTCACATTGATGTCCCCCTTTATGGACAACTCCCGTAGACAACTGGTGTCGAAAATATCACATAACGGGTAATTCATTGTCGTGGAACCGGAGCCATGGTGAATTTGCAACACGTGTAACTTCCAATTGTAGCGAAAACGCATATACCTATGATC